TACAAAATAAAGCAAATAATTCATAAAAACTACGTTGGACGTAATCTAATGTAAAATTATCTCCTAAAAACAAATTTGCATGTTGCCATGTCCAAAAGTTGATCAAAAATTGTTTACAAAATTTTTTTTAACAAATTTTGTACATTGTTTATTTTGTTTCAGAAATTTTTTTTAGGATATTTATACTATAAACAAGAAAAATCTTTAGCAATTTTTTTCTAAATTTAACGTTTTCCAAAATATTAATTATTAAAGTTCGATAAAATGTGAAAATGGCTGTTTTCATCCATGACGAACAATATGAAAAACCAACAATTTTGATATCATCAAAGTTTGAAAATATTTTATAACCATCCTTTAACACATTTCCAAAGCGTTTTAGGCTAGTATTTTACTGTAACCCCTTACTTTTAAAAAAAATTTTATTTTTTCCCACGAATTCCAGATTATGATCTGAACTATAAACTATAAAATGGAATGTCCCTTTCTTATTTTTCACGATACTTTATTATTATTATTATTATTATTATTGTTGTAATATGTAATGTTACAATATTCATACGCTAGAAAGCCGTTAACATTGGATATTGATATCAGACGAGCTTATAACTGATAATAATGTAGTCATAAGTATAAATCCCACGACGTTGTGTGTTTAAATACAATTCATGATAATCAAACACAATTTCCGCGTACGGTTTAAGGTGTCGATAGAACAAACATGAGGTAGCTTATTTTTACTGCTGCGTTTAATTTTAATCGAAAAATCTATACAATCAGACCTACCTCATCCAACACGGTCGATTGTAACTTGCGGCTTGACAACAAAAAGAAAAGAAAAAATCACCGACTCCCGCAAATATAACGCGCGCGCTAAATGATACGGCTTATCGAAACTATATACTTGCTCGATAAATTTTCCATGCCTGGCCGAAGCAGCGCTATTATAATATTGTACATCTCCTCTTGGTGCCACATGTATATGTATATATACGTAAAGTCTGGTTACGCTAGTTTATGCAGCACAGCCAGACAATGAGATCATAATGTTCGACTGTTCCATGTACTTCCGTACTGTTACTTAAAGTTGATTTTCTCATTATTAAAGAACTTCTTGTTCGATCGATTGCCGGCACTCAAATTCGATCGCTATCGGTGTTTCACGTATATTGTACGTTCTCGTCGCAATGATACCCATCACCAGTGCATATTGGTAAACAAAAAATACACGACCACGCGGCATTCGAGATTGCTTCGGGTTGTTTTTTTTTCTCATCGTTTGCATAGAAACACTTTTTTCCCACACTGCTAGCGCAAGTGCAACCCGATAAAGAGTCTTACACGCGTGCACACCGACAACACCAGATTTATTTTTTTTCTTTCTGCAGCACTCTGATAACAGCTTAGCTCGTTGTTGCATGTGCATCGATATAGGTGCTGGTGCTCCACCGTGGACCTTTGACCATTTTTGTCGCACGTTGGAATGGCCACAAGTGTCATTTACGCAACATTTGCGCTGGGAAGCGAGCTGGCTTGATAAGAATACAATTACAAGAACCGCGCAGGTGTCAAATCAGTCGCGTGAGTCATAAAGTTGTTTTTTTTTTTTTTTCGTATTTGTTTCAATGCCGGCGTGCAATGGATTGTTCGTTGTTGGCCGAGTGATTTGTCAGCTCAGCCGCGGTTTTCTTGACACAAACTTTCAAACCGTGACGCAGTCGGTTTTGTTTAGGAAATCATCATCGGGAGCTCGCTCGGGGGAATACCCGACTAATAATGTACATCATTGCCGTGGTGCAGAAATTTGTATGGGCTGCAAAGTAGAGGGACGGGAAAAGAGATGCATTCACTTGTGCGTTTGAATCAAAACATTGATATTTCTCAGTCGACGGACGACATGAGTCACTTCACCGAAAATTTCAGGTATAACGAAAGCTTACCTATCGTGGTCTCACCAGAACGCTTCTTGAATATCTCTAAAGGCACTTCGGAGAACGGAGAGATAAGCGAACTGCTTTCGCGATATGTATGTACAATAGAGAGTGTGAAAGACCTTTTCGGCGATTCTTGGACTAATTTTTTATTTTTTTTTTTTTTTTCACTCCATCAGTCCCGTTCATCGGAGGAAGAAATCATCATTTTTCTCAGATAAAGGTAAAGAGTCGGCAAATCGACAAATCGATAAGAAGCCACCCACGCGCGCCACAGATAGCAGAAGCATCTGTCGCTCCTTTTCAGCAATCGGGTCTAGAGTCTGTCTCGTTTGTGTACGCGTGTACACACTGTGACACATCGGGAGACGACCGTCGGGTTCGGCGCTCTCTCGGTTTTTCCGTTGGCAGGCCTTCCAAGCGTATATATAAGCACGTGACTCGCGCGGCGGCCAGTTTACTCCACGCAGTGGTGCCTGTGATTAAGTACCGTTATACTGCTGATTTTCGCTCTGTCGCGAATCAGCGCACAACCTGCGCTCCCTTTGTTACTTCTTAGGTGGAAGAAATCCGACTTTGTCCTGGTCTAGCGGCTGATGATTGGTGCTCGTTCAGTATGAGCCGTTCGGTCACGCTTGTGTTCACGCATCTCGATTGTCTCTTGATTGATAGGTTGCTGATCGAACCGTTTGGATGTACGTGTAGCGTGTGAAGTACAAGTGAACGTGTCTCTTTTTTTTTTTTTTTTTTTCTTTTTAACTTTAGTGCATGGGGTAAATGAACGCACATCGCTGGCAGACGCGGCTTAGCGATTTTTTACTCGATACAGTGCTTGTAAATGTCTGGTCGTTGAATTAGTAATGATGGATTATCAGGATACATTTTAAATCATACGTGAGTCAAATACAAAAAAAAGCTTTCCCCGTGGAAAGCAAACGCTTATGTGATGAAGAAGTAATTGCGTGACCAGTGCCAATAGCTTGAAATAGCACACGTGTGAAAATTAGAATTTATCATCAAATATTTTTTTTATGCTGCTAGAGTACGTTATTAAGTTGTAAAATTTTTTCTAACTGTACAATATGTGTTAATGAAATAATCGGTCGTGAGTCAGTGACTATGAATAGTTAAAAAATGTACCAAAACTCCGGTTATCGCGTCAGTTACCCCGTGCACAATATTGCGTACGAGGAAAATAAATTATCACACAGTGTTGACGCGTTTCAACTTAATCAAGAATTTAATTTTGTTTGTTTCCAGCCAACCAAGTAAATTGTTACTCCGAGTACACAGTGAAGTGGGATTGGACGTTATAATTTAACCGGGTGAAAACAAGTGCACGTGAAAGCGTTTAACCATGGAAAAAAATGAAAAACAGGATGTGAAAAACCCGAGGCAGGGGGCCAATTTCTTATCAGCCATCACGTTCAAGTACGTTAAAAAAGATTATGTACGCGTTAAGCCAATAACGTTTGCACGTTTGCAGTGATGAATCTTGTTTTAATTCAGTTATACTTATCCTTAAGAATCTGTATACCTATACTTGTAGGTTATACTTTTTTTGTAGTGTTTTTAACTGATTAGTGGCCTGTAATGGAATGGAAATCAATAGAAAAATTTTTTGTTAGTGTTAACACATATACATTGCTAAATTTTTCTACGTACATTGATAAATCATATTGGTATCTACCCGTGTGAAGTTCTATTCAGTTAAAAATTTTTTTTTGATGAAACAATTATTTGTTTTTTAAAGAAAATTTGATCTTACTTCTGAATTTGTATGTTCTTGTTTACAGTAAAATAAAAGTGTTTTAGTTGAACCAATTGGAATGACAAGTGATATTTCCATAACTACCAAGACTCATACATAACATGAAAATCGTTCAAATTTATTAAAAATCATGATATGAAAGACCCATGTTAATTTCAATTTCATTATATGACATAAGAAACCATAAACTCAAAATTACAAAAATGGAAGGAAATTGTACTTGTAACTAACTTTCATGACTGATTACCACGAAATTGATGAAATGAATTAAAATTTCTAGATGGCTGTTTGGAACATATCTCACAGGATACAGAAGGGAGCTAGAAGAAACAGATCTTTATTCGCCTTTGCATGAACATTCAAGTCGTTATCTAGGTAATAAGATATCTAGGTACTGGCAAAAAGAGTTGGACAGATGCGAGAAATCACATGCAAAAAGAAAACCTAGTTTGTTTAGAGTATTAGTAAGATGCTTCGGCTGTGATGTAATGATGATTGGGTTGTGTTTAGGGTTCCTCGAATTTTGTATAAGGTAAAATTCATGTTTTTTTTTTTCTTCACAAAAATAATCCAATCGTAACACTTCCAATTTCGTGTCATAGAACCTCTCAGCCAATCATATTAGCCAACTTGCTGAAATATTTTAAAAAGGACAGTGAGATGGAGCAATCCACAGCATTGATTTGGGGTACTGGCATAGTAGTTGGCGTTTTTTTGGATTGCCTTATATCGCATCCTGCGGGACAAGGATTGATGCACATTGGAATGAAAATAAGAGTTGCATGTTGTTCACTTATTTATAGAAAGCTATTGAAAATCTCAAAGGTTGTATCCGAAGGGGAAACCAGTGTGGGACAAGTGAGAAATATTTTTAATATAATCTAAGATACTAAAATTTGCACGCACAGCTCAATAACGACCAATGACGTTTCAGATGATCAATCTTGTAAGTAATGACGTGAACCGATTAGACTATTCATGTTTTACATTACACTACATATGGATAGCACCTGTTCAGACTATTCTTGTATCCTATCTGTTAGTCAGAAAAGTTCATATTGCCGCACTAGGTGGTATATTGACTCTTTTGATTTTCATACCGGTTCATGGCAAGTATTTTTAACTGTATCGACTGTAGTAATAATTTTTCTCTTCACATTATTTATTTTGTCAATTTTCATGTACACATGTAGGAGGTTACGGGAAACTAATATCTCGACTTACAAAAAAGTTTGCATTTAGAACAGATGAGCGATTAAGATTGACCAATGAAATTATTAGTGGAGTCAAAGTTATTAAAATGTATGCTTGGGAAAAACCATTTTACTTCCTAATAGATAAGGCTCGAGAGTAAATATTACTAGTATTTATATTATCTGTATCACCAATTTTTCGTAGACTTATCACTATTTCATCATTTTATCTTACAGGAAAGAAGTGAAAACTATAAGAAACAATTTAATGTCAACAGAAATATGTTGGTCTTTCGAAAGTTATATTCCTAAGATTTGTATTTTTGTGACAATTTTAGCGTATATTTTGATTGGAAAGGACATTGACGCAGAAAAAGTATATTTAATTACAGCTTATTACAATGTACTGCGTACGTCTTTGTATCGATTATTCCCACTGAGTAAGTATTAGTTCAAAGACATAGTTTTTCTTAGCTGGAAATTATTAAATATTACCATTGAATTCAATTTAAATATATAGGTATAAAGGAAATCGCTGAAGCTTTGGTATCGATAAAGCGTATTCAAAACTTTATGCTGTCGGAAGAGATTCAACCTAAATTGACGATAAACAACGACAAAATTGTTACGGAAGCTCACAAAAATATCGCAATATCTTTAAAAAATGTGACTGCAAAATGGAATTTACAATCAAAACACGAAGCTCTAAGAGAAGTAACTTTTGAGATAACACCTGGATCGTTGACGGCAATTGTTGGACAAGTTGGTGCTGGAAAATCAACTCTTTTCAATACCATTTTATCTGAAATCTGTCCTATTGATGGCGATGTAAAAGTCAACGGGAAAATTTCCTATTCTTGTCAAGAGCCGTGGCTCTTTACATCAACAATTCGTCAAAACATACTTTTTGGCCAGCCCATGGATAAACAACGGTACGAAAAAGTTATCAATGTGTGTCAATTAAAGAGGGACTTTCAATTACTTCCTTACGGAGATAACACTTTGGTTGGAGAAAAAGGCCACAATCTGAGTGGTGGTCAGTGTGCTCGAGTCAATCTCGCTCGTGCAATTTATTTCAACGCCGATATTTATCTTCTGGATGACCCCTTATCTGCTGTTGATACCCACGTTGGCAAGGGTGTTTTTGAAGATTGTATCAAGGCCTTCTTAAAAGAAAAAACTGTGGTCTTAATAACCCATCAATTCCATTTCTTGAAAAATGTAGACAAGATCATTGTACTAAGTAATGGCACGGTTCAAGCAGAAGGGACATACAATGAGTTATTGAATTCTGGACTTGACCTGTTGCAGGATGAAAACGGGTCCAGTGAGATTAATGATAAAGTTGAGACACCTACCAAAGAAAATGTTACTTTGATAAAATCGGCCATGGCAGAAGACGAAGAAGAAGAATTAACAGAAAGCCGAACTCAAGGAAAAATTAATTTAAAAACTTACCTGCGATATTTTGGTGCGTCAAAAAGTATTTTATTAGTAATTTTAGTGAGCGCAGTCACCATAGCTACGCAAACGGCGTCAACTGGTGCAGATTACTTTATCAATGACTGGGTGAAATGGGAAGAGGAAAAAGGCTCCAATTTATCGATAAGTGCAGGCGATTCCTTACGTGGCCGAAGTTATTACATTTATTTTTATGCCTCGATTACTGTTGTGACGGTGATATTCACGCTACTCGAAGCTTATTCATTCTTTTACATGAGCATGAGAATATCAAGAAATTTACATGCTCAAATGTTTAATAGTATTGTAAATACAACAATGGCTTTTTTCAACGCCAACTCTATTGGCCGAATTATGAATAGGTACAAACCAATATAAATAAAAATAAGTTATAATAAATAAGATATAATTAAATAAGCTTTAAGTACAAATAAAAAGTTATAATTTCACGATTCTTACAGGTTCTCTAAAGATATAGGGATTGTTGATACCCGAATACCCCAAACAGTGGTTGATGTTACCCAAATTGCCTTATATACAATAGCTGTGAATCTTCTGGTCGCAATTGTTGATGTATGGTTTGTAATTCCAGCGGTATTCATAGGTATAATAGCTTACTACTTTCGCTCGTTTTACATCAAAGCTAGTCGAAGCATCAAGAGATTGGAAGGAATGAGTACGTATGCCGTTCTTGACAATCATGTGTATTTTATGTATCGGAAAATTTTAAATTAGGCGATCATTAATTTATCCTATATTTTCAGCTCGATCTCCCGTTGTAAACCATTTGAGTGCTAGTATTCATGGCATCACAACAATTAGAGCTTTCGGTGCCGAAGGCATATTAACAAAAGAATTTGACAATCATCAAGATCTGCATTCTTCGGCTTGGTTCATTTTTTTCTCTGGTTCAAGAGCTTTCGGCATGTACATCGAACTCCTTTGTATGACCTTCATAGCCATCATAGTGTACACTTTACTAATAATAAATGATCTGACAAGAGCCGGAGATGTAGGTCTCGTCGTTACGCAGACTATATTGTTGTCAGGCATGTTGCAATGGGGTGTCCGACAAACCACGGAATTAGAAAGTCAAATGACATCCGTTGAAAGAGTCTTAGAATACTCCCATCTTCCTCCAGAACCAATGTTAAAGCGTACACCTGAAAACAAAGCACCAGATCATTGGCCCATAAAGGGTTGTATAAAGTTTGAAGACGTCAGTTTAACTTATGATAGACAAGAGCTACCTGCTCTAAACAACCTTAACTTCACTGTACAATCGAACGAAATGATTGGCATTGTTGGAAGAACTGGAGCAGGTAAATCTTCCATTATAAATGCTATATTTCGACTGGCAGATGTCACGGGAGAGATATACATTGATGATGTTGCCACGAGTAAGATAGCTCTTCAAGACTTGCGTTCGAAGATTAGTATTATCCCACAAGAACCAGTTCTCTTTACCGGAACTCTACGTAAAAATCTGGATCCCTTCGAGGAGTATTCCGATCATGTTCTTTGGCAAGCCTTGGAAGATGTCGAACTAAAGGGATTTCTCGATTCCGATTTAGGTCTGCAGATGCTGGTTATGGAAGGTGGCTCGAATTTCAGTGTTGGACAAAGGCAACTGTTATGTTTAGCTCGTGCCATTGTTAGGAATAACAAGATATTCGTTTTGGATGAAGCCACGGCTAACGTCGATCCACATACTGACGAGCTCATCCAAAAGGCTGTTCGTAAGAAGTTCGAAAACTGTACGGTACTTATTATTGCGCATCGTCTGAATACAGTTATGGATAGTCATAAAATTCTTGTAATGGATGGCGGTAAAATTGTGGTAAGTGTTTTCACTTGTTTTTTAACGTTAATCAATCATTAATTACATCTAACGTTCAAATTCATAATAATCAAATTTTTCATTAGGAATTTGATCACCCGTACAATTTACTTCAAAATAAAGATGGAGTGTTCTACAATATGGTTAAGCAAACTGGCCCAGCTATGGCTGAAAATCTTTGCGAAATAGCCGAATCGGTAAGAAACATGATAAAACCATACAACATTACGAGTATAACTTGAACGCACACTTTATATTTTAATATTTTACAGAACTATGAAAGTCATATCAGTATACGTTTATAAGTACAAATCATTATCGTTGATAACAATACTATTACGTTATGTATACTATGTATACAAAAGTGCAATTACTCCCAAAATATTCAAATATGTATGAAGTACTTAAACTTATCGACAGAAAAGTGATCAATAAGCTTCAGAAAATATTTCCATCTGCAAGTCAATTAAGACTACGTATAATATTTTTACATGTGTTAAAAACAAACTTGTATATAGATAAATACTGTGTTAAACATTTGAGTAGAAGAAAATTACTACTTAAACTAGAAAAAAAGTGTATAATGTCAAGTTTTTTATAAATATAAAAAGGAAGTATTAAATATTTTTTTCAATATTACAAGACATCAATGTTAACGATTTATAAAAAAAGTTGTTTGTGTGAATCCATTATTGAAATGTTTTACTTTTATGAATAATTTTTAGAGTAAAATAAAAATTGTGTTTGAATGTCAAAATAATATTAAGTGATTAATTTGATACAATTAAGATGTAACTAGTATACGAAGAACTAAAACCACGTCCAGCAGAAGCATCNACCTCTCCCCACGAGCCGAGCCTACAAGCCGCCAGCCAATAGAAAACGTGTGCATGGTTCCTCTGCTGGCCACGATGGATTGGGTCTCAAATCAGCGCCGAAACATCGGCACACTCTTTACCTAACATACACGGAAGATTGTTGTTACCAGAAAAACAGGTACTATATGTTAGTACAAGTATTTTCGATACTCTGTACAAGAAAAATGTGTACTGGTACAGGTATATTTGGTACGGTAGTATACTTTAAAGTACCTTAGTGAGTATAGATAAACCTTATACTTAGTACGTCAAAATCCGATACGTGGTACGGGTTTTTCCTGTACCAGTACAGAAAGTTAGTCGGCCAGTGGGAGCATTCAGATTGTCAATATATATATATATATATATATATATTTAACATAAGGTAACAATTATAGTACTGTAAATTAAATCCTAGGTTTTTTACTTTTTCCTGGGTCGCTTTAAACAAAAAAAAGCCAAACGTAAGACCTAAAAATTTTGGCACTTCAAAAAATCCCAGTACATCGTACACGCCAATAAAAAATTTATTTGTTAAATAGCAATAAAATAAATTCAAGTGGGATTATGTTGGTACACTCAAGGCACTTTATATCTGTCGGAACAATTGGTCTACACACGGTTAATGATGTCTTATAACCTATAATATAACAAAGACATACTGTCACTTAACAGGTAATTTTTCATCGTTCTGACAAATATAAAGTGCCTTGGGTGTACGTCTTAGCCAGTAGATTTTGGAACGATTTGAAAATCTCTACCAAAACGAACAAAGAATGCAAAAGAGCTATGAAGAAGAAACTGAAACTCGTTTAGTATTATATTAGTCAGTTGCAAATCTGTGTCTAAAATAATTTTTTTGATCAATGTCTTTACTATAACAAAAGTTTTAATACACTGTTTGAGTTGAAAAAAAAAGCTTTGATGCATTGTATTACTGTTTGTACTGCAAAGTATGACGAAAATTTAAGTTTTTAATGTTACTGTAGAGTACAATATTGATGTTACATGTTCACCAAACTAAAATCAAATCTAATTTTACTTGAGAATATACATAAGTGTGATTCAGTACTAACTCAGAAGTCAAAGACGTAACCATAGCCGATTATAATTTTTCAGCCCTTCATCTGTCTAAATAGTGTGAGATTAAAATTTTAAAAAGTATGTAAGTACTTTTGAAGACCTGTAGTTTCCCGTAAAATTAATTAAAAATCAATTTTTCGTAACTAAACCGATGATAACCGATGATAACCTAAAATTTACAAAAAACGATATCTTTAATAAAAAAAAAATTGGGGTGAGAAAGTACTTATTGAAAATTGAAAACATTTTTATAACTTAATTCTTCCTCACGTTTTAAGGATTTGGTTACTAAGTTTAAAGTCTTCCTGTTATTCTTTAAATTAATATTTAGAAGTCATTGCGTGAGGCAGTATTGCTTCGCAAAAAAACGCACGTCAGCAGCAGGCAACACTATCTATTTCTTCACTGTAGGTAATGGAGCTGACTGTTGACATTTATGTATTTATTATTATTTTTTTCTTTTTTTTTTGATAATGTCAAGTAACCTAGAGTTATCGTAAACTCAATTTCTTTAGAATTGCAACAGTTTTTTTTATTTTCGTTATTTGTGTGTGTAAAAAGTATAACGCTTTTTCTCAAAAAAACGTCTCATTAAGTACTCAGCCACTAAAATGAATCGCCTAAGAATAAATAATTTTTTTTTTAATGCTTATATTTTGTAAAGTGTGCATATAAAAAAATCGCTTGAATTGTTTTGAGTAAGAAACTAAACAATTTGAATAATTTTGTTATATTACACATGTGAAGTTTAATCACTGCCATTGATTTATACAAATATTTTTACTATTTTATGCAATCTTGAGAAATATATACGTACCGTTGAAAAACAATACAAGTGATCAAAATAGTTTTTTTTATAGAATTAACGAGAAAAAATTTATGTACAGCTTATGGAGTGGAAAAAATCTTGAAGTTTACTCTTAACTAAAATAAAAAAAAATTTATAACGATATTCCTTGTACAATTTAATTGATCTTTATTTAAAAAATTCCAGTATCTTATTCCTATTAATATTAAATTAATATCTTTGAAGGTACGTAAGCGATTAATTTATTTTTTGTATTTATCAATACATATGGAAAGAAGTAAATCAAGAAAACTGATCATAAAGCTTTGATAAATGCGTCCCGATAACACAAATACATAATAATAAAAATAATTTTTAAAAGAGAGGTTTGGCGTGAAAGTCACGAAATGGTGCTAAGCCCCAGTATATTTATATGTATACAGTGATAGTAGGGCTTTGCCTACTGCATGCTTGCCATACCGATCGCTATGCACAGGATCTCTGAGCTATAGGTCTCAAATAATAAGGCAAAATGCCTGCTTGACGCCGAAAAATTCAGTGGGTTCACGCGATAAAATCGTGCAGTGCATGAATNGCTCTCTTATTTATAGGAAACTTTTAAAAATTTCAAGATCTGCACCTGATAGCAAGACTAGCGTTGGTCAAGTAATAATATTTGATACTTGTTAATTATTTTTACGGTTGTAGCAATTTTTTAAATTTAAAATCAAATCATATCCAGATAATAAATTTGCTGAGTAATGACGTCAATCGATTAGATTACTCAGTTCTATCATCACATTATTTATGGATATCACCTATTCAAACAGCAATAATAGCATATTTACTTTACAAAGAGGTCGATATGGCTGCATCTCTAGGACTTTTCGCACTTTTGCTATTCGTACCCATTCTACGTAAGTTAAACATAGTTGTAATATTTAGATGTTAAATACTTATTTATTTTATAGCTACTCTACTCTTTAAACATTGTAATTATATCTGCAGTTGTGTACGGAAAACTTGTGTCGTATTTTATAACGAAGCTCGTATGCAAGACAGATGAACGTTTGAAACTGACGTATGAAATCATAAAAGGTATTAAAGTCATTAAAATGTATGCTTGGGAGAAACCATTTGCACTTCTTATCAACAGATCTCGAAAGTACGCAGAGTTTTCGAAAAATTCTTGTATATTTAAAAATAATATGATTAAAAATTGTTTGTTTTATACCACCAGTGTTAGTGGAAAAAATTAAGCGAATAATTTGTGATTGTTTTTCAGAAAAGAAGTAAAAGTTGTAAGAAATAATTTAGTGACATCAGAAATTTGTTGGTCTTTTGATCTCTATGTTCCTCGAATTTGTATATTTTTAACAATACTTGCCTATGTCTTTTTCGGAAATGATATTAACGCTGAAAAAGTTTATATGGTCACAGCTTACTATAACATTATAAGAACAACTTTGTATCTAATGTTTCCACTAGGTAAAAATTGAGTGCATTTTTAGTCGAACTTAAAACAATTTTTTAAAAATTGATATCGAAAACATTTAATCATCACTTTTAGCTATCAAAGAACTGTCCGAAGCTTTAGTCTCTCTCAAACGTCTTCAGATATTTTTGATGTCCAACGAAACTCAGAATTTACTAATAAATAAAAATTACGTAAAATCACAGATATCAAATAGTGATGCATTATCTATGAAAAATGTCACCGTCAAATGGAACTCGCGATCAAAATTTGAAGCTCTAAAACAACTCAACTTCCGAATTAAACCCAAATCCCTTACGGCAATCATAGGACAAGTAGGTGCTGGAAAGACAACAATATTTCATACAATATTATCAGAAGTTCCTTGGGCAACTGGACAAGTTGAGATAAATGGAAAAATTTCATACGCATCTCAAGAAGCGTGGATTTTTACTTCATCTATTAGGCAAAATATACTATTCGGTAAACCAATGAACAAAGATCGTTATGATAAAGTTATCGATGTATGTCAACTTAGACGAGATTTACAATTACTTCCATGTGGTGACAACACCTTGGCAAGTGAAAAAGGAGCCAACTTAAGTGGTGGACAATGCTCTCGTATTAATTTAGCTCGTGCTATTTATTACGAGGCAGACATCTATCTTTTGGATGATCCTCTTTCTGCAGTTGATACACATGTCAGCAAAGCCATTTTCGAAGAATGTATTAAAACATTTTTAAAGGATAAGACCGTTGTCTTAATCACTCACCAATGTCACCTTTTAAAGCATGTTGATCACATAATTTACATTGAAAATGGTAAAACTTACATAGAGGGAACATATTCAGAACTACTTGGTTCTGAGATAGATTTAAAGAAAATGATGCGGTTTGAAAATGAGTCTGACGAAATCCCCGATAACGATGAGAGAGCTGCTACAGAGGATAGTGTGGCTTCTAAATCAACAGACTTTTACCAAGAAGAAAATGAAGAATTGGAAAGTAGAACCTTAGGAAAAATTAAATTACAAACATATTCAAAATATCTTGCGGCAGCAGGTAGCATCTTACTTGTAGCTTTCACTCTTTTAATTTGTGTTGCTTGCCAATTAGCGTCAACTGGCTCAGATTATTTTATAACGTATTGGGTTAATATGGAAGAAAAAGGAGCAAATTTTACAATATTAGAAGATGACGTGTTTAGAGGACGAAGCTGGTATATATACGTATATGGCTCCATTGTCATTTTTACTGTGTTTATTACTCTCATTCAATCATGCATATTTTTTAACATGTGTATGAAGATCTCAAAAAATCTTCATGCTTGGATACTCAAAAGTATAATCCACGCTAAAATGAGTTTTTTTAATTCAAATCCCGTTGGACGTATTATGAACAGGTAAGATGATAAGTACAATTTGCAATAAAATCTAAATACATATTTTTTCTCATTTTAGATTTTCAAAGGATATGGGTATAATTGATACTCGACTTCCTCAAACTTTGATGGATGTTGTAACAATTGGCTTGAAAACAATATCTGTCATTATTTTAGTTTTGATTGTCAATGTTTGGTTTATTTTACCAGTAGTCTTCATTTCTATAACTGCATATCTCTTACGGAAGTTTTACATAAAACCATGTCGAAGTATCAAAAGATTGGAGGGAATAAGTAATGATAAAATTATTTTATTATTTAGATATAATATTTCTTAAAAATTGTTAGGTCAATCATAACTTATAATACTGATAGAGTCATATAAAGAAATATACTCACGGCAGCTTAAGTCAACTATGAGTCGAATATATCAATGTTTTTGTTCAACGTTATTGTTATTTCAGCCCGATCGCCAGTATTCAATCACGTTAGTGCAAGTATACAAGGTCTCACAACTATAAGAGCTTTGCATGCTCAGAACATATTAACAAGAGAATTCGACAACCATCAAGACTTACATTCATCAGCATGGTTCTTGTTTTTCTCTGGTTCAAGAGCATTTGGAATGTACATCGAAATGCTTACTGCATTTTTTTTGGCGATAGTTGTGTACTCTTTATTGGCAATACATGAAATCTCATTGGCAGGAGATGTTGGTCTCATTGTAACTCAAATACTTATGCTATCGGGATCATTGCAATGGGGTATTCGACAAACAACGGAACTAGAAAATCAAATGACGTCTGTGGAACGAATTTTAGAATATGCAGATATTCCTCAAGAGCCTGTATTAGACAATAATGTTGAAAGTAGACCCTTAGATAAGTGGCCGAAAAATGGGAAAATTGAGTTTAAAAACGTTGATTTGATTTATGATCGCCAAAATAATCTAGCTCTTATGAACTTGAATTTTATAGCTGAACCAGATGAAATGATTGGCGTTGTAGGAAGAACTGGTGCAGGTAAATCATCAATAATAAGCGCCATATTCCGCTTAGTAGATATTAAGGGAGAAATACTTATTGATGATGTTCCTACGGATCAAATACCTCTACAAGACTTACGATCAAGAATTAGCATTATTCCTCAAGAACCAGTGCTTTTTGCTGGAAGTCTTCGAAATAATTTGGATCCGTTTGAAGAGCACTCAGACCATGTATTGTGGCTAGCTTTAGAGGATGTAGAGTTGAAACAATGTCTTGATTCAGACTTGGGTCTTGATATGTTGGTCATGGAGGGAGGCTCAAATTTCAGCGTTGGACAACGACAACTGCTTTGCTTAGCACGGGCTATCATTCGCAATCATAAAATACTTATTCTTGATGAAGCCACTGCAAATGTTGATCCAGGAACTGACGAACTAATTCAGAGAGCGATTCGAAAAAAGTTAAAGAATTGTACGGTAATTGTTGTTGCTCATCGTTTAAATACGGTAATAGACAGTGACAAAATTCTTGTAATGGATGCTGGACAAGTAAAGGTAGGGTCCTATAATATTCTATTACAATATGGGCAACTATATTACGATTTTTGTTTGTTTTTTAATCAACTATTTTAATAGGAATTTGACCATCCATATATTTTACTGCAAAAAAAAGACGGAATCTTCAGCAATATGGTAAAAGTTTGGCGTGAAAGTCACGAAATGGTGCTAAGCCCCAGTATATTTATATGTATACAGTGATAGTAGGGCTTTGCCTACTGCATGCTTGCCATACCGATCGCTATGCACAGGATCTCTGAGCTATAGGTCTCAAATAATAAGGCAAAATGCCTGCTTGACGCCGAAAAATTCAGTGGGTTCACGCGATAAAATCGTGCAGTGCATGAATCGCCTACTATTAATGCGTGGTAGGGGCCACACTAAAAGAGCATAGATCAAGATTCTCACACATGGAACTCTCATTTGTTATTTCTGTATAATTTTCGTTTGCCTTGTTAACAGTTACTTTCTATTTTTTTATAAGACGCCAACTTTGTATTATTCTGGCTTGTAATCTCGAGGTACAAATTTTATTGAATAGATCCAAGATCTAAGCTCAATATCTATTAAAAATCTCGTGTTAAAAACCAATGTTGCCGCAGTACTTTTACTTGACCTATTTATAGTAGTATTTTATTACTTCCTTTTGATATAGTCTTATAACATGAATTAAAACTCACCATGATTATTTCCATGATTATTTCTTATACATTTTTCAATGTATCCCTGCAATTTTATTATCATACGTTATATGTATCATGATATTTACTATATAATAATTTTATAGCTGCCCCATAAAAACACGTGTCAACTATGCTATTTTTATTGTAATATTTTTCTGTATTTAGTATTATAACATGCATTGAAAAATGAGTATGGATTATAATTGAATCATTTTTCTTGGTAGAATAAATTTTTTTTTGTTTAATACAAAAAATAGTGAGTTATAGATTTTATTATTATTATCCGTGTCTAAAACCAAAAATAATCGAATACCGATGATGAAAAATAAAAATTGTATGTCAAGGTTGTCATACAGCTTTATCAAAGATAAGTCAATTATCGTTAGACTGATAAAAAAGGAGAGCAAATTCGTCTTCAAAAGATCTGTTTGACCTTTACTTTTTCACGTGTTCATTGATCATTATAAATGAATGAATGTTTCAGGAACAGGTGTCTAAAGATTTTTAGATAGAAAAATAATATTTTTAAAGCTATGATGGATCATCCTTACAACACTATTATCACTTATTGAAGTACTTTTATTTCTATTAGCAAATGACTAATAAATTCTATATATAATTTACAAGAATTAACCGACTTTTCTAACTTTGCTCCATTATTATAAAATAAAACGAGTTTAAAAATATACACAGTAAACAGTCATGTCCAAAATTTCGTAACAAAATTCTCGTAGTTCTCATTTTACTTGCACTTGTGTCTACATTGATCACAGCCTGAATTGCATTATCAAAATGTCTATAAGTCTGAGAATCGTCAGAGCAGCACCAATGAATTCACACAGTCGCGGCAAGATCCCTTTATGGGTGTAAACCGGTACACGTTTATACTTTGGTCGTGACAGCTCGCCAACAACCCCAGCTACTACGTATACACATACATATGTGAAGAGTATACTCTCCATTTTCTCTCGTGATATGAAAGAGATTCCGTTAAATACATATTTACAGAACGCAAAGCAAAGCACCTTTGGACTACGTTTGATCAATGTAATCAATGGTACATCGTCAGTATATTGATTTGATAGTCTCTTATGGCAACGTGGGCGAATGTACATGGCCTAAAGACTAAATACATAAATGGATGAAGATACGTAAAAAAGACAAGGTAATTTATCCATGTTTGTTGTTGTAAAGTATACGGTATTTGTACATATTTCCTGTTGTATAATATCTATTTATTGAAATTGTAGTTAATTTCTATTATAATTGCTTATAATCTTTAGCTTCTAAAAGAAGGAATACATTCAATAAACTCCTTTTATTAAAGGTATAAGTCAAAAATAGCTTACTTATTTCTTCGACTAACAATAAAAAAATATTTTTTGTACAAAATATGTATAATAATCAAATTACATGTAAATAATACTAATTATTTGTTTACTAATTCATGACCAATTGAGTCACTTGCAAGAATCCTAATTAAGTTTTAGTAATTTACCACGTACAATGGGTATAATTATTTAACTAACATTACATGATAAAACTTTTTATTTTTTTACTATTGTAAACTATAAAATAAGAAAAATAAATTTTTTTATGTATGTTACTAAGTGCCTCTGAATGATTTCAAAAATAGATTTGTAATTTGTTTGAACATTAACTTTTATAGTTATATCTACGGAGATTACTCACATGAATCAATGCTTAATGCAGCTCAAATACATCTTGTTTGTCAGTTAATTCATTTGTAAACTTAAAAAGCCAGCTGCATTGAAATCCAGATAACACATTTATATGAAAGTGATAGTTTCATTTTGGTCTTTAGTTTCACGTGTTCTTATGACAGTAACTCTTGTAATTCAATGAAATTGGTTCATTTTGATAACGTTTAAGTTTTCTTAAATGAGATTCTTAAATTCTTTCTCAAAATATTGTCTGAAGAGTAAATATTTTTAATTTGAATGCATTCAAAGTATTTTTTTTTATAACAATTTATACCTTAATGTAAAAATCAGTTTTTAATATCATTTGACAATGAGATTAAATCAAAAATTTGGATGTCAAACTTATGTTTAAGATAGACGTAAAACTTGCTATTGTTAAAAGCAGCATGTTATTAAGATTGGCTTAATTGAATGAGATCAAGACAAGCTGACGATCGTTTTGGTGAGGCGAAAACAGAGAATAAATAAAATAGAGGTGAATATTATTAACGCTATTTAATTAGTGTCTTGTAAATTTTTGCTTATGCGTTAATTAACTTATGTATAAATTACATCCAAGCAATTGGCTGATTTAATAAAATGCTTTAGAATAATATTAAAGCATGGAAAACAAGGAATCAAGACGTAATCCAAATCCAAGAGAAGGTGCTAACATCGTATCAGTAACTTTATTTAAGTATGATAACCATTTAAATATAAAATGCATAATATAAAATCATAAAACTTAATAAAAGACGATATTGTACATCTGCTACTTATTAAGGTGGTTATTTGGAACTTATTACACCGGGTATAAGAGAGAACTCGAAATATCTGATCTTTACGCACCTTTAAAAGACCATTCGAGTCACAACTTGGGAAATCAGTTATCATGTTTATGGCAGGAAGAGTGCGATCGATGTCAAAAGACAAAAAAGAAATATGCACCAAGTCTATCAAAAACATTAGTTAGGTGTTTTAGCTGTGATATCATATCTTTTGGTGTGTGTCTAGGAATTCTTGAATTAATCATAAGGTAAATAAACAAATATGTTGAAAATGATTTAAAATTCGAATATATATATGTATGTATAGACATATATTAATTACCATTGCAGAATTGCTCAACCTATTATATTAGCGTACTTATTAAGATATTTTAGTGGACAACATGATATGGAAAAGTCCGAAGCGTTTATTTGGGGATCTGGTATAGTGATTGAATTACTCCTTGAATGCCTCACGTATCATCCAATTATGTATGCTATGATGCACATAGGTATGAAAATAAGAGTTGCCTGTTGCTCTCTTATTTATAGGAAACTTTTAAAAATTTCAAGATCTGCACCTGATAGCAAGACTAGCGTTGGTCAAGTAATAATATTTGATACTTGTTAATTATTTTTACGGTTGTAGCAATTTTTTAAATTTAAAATCAAATCATATCCAGATAATAAATTTGCTGAGTAATGACGTCAATCGATTAGATTACTCAGTTCTATCATCACATTATTTATGGATATCACCTATTCAAACAGCAATAATAGCATATTTACTTTACAAAGAGGTCGATATGGCTGCATCTCTAGGACTTTTCGCACTTTTGCTATTCGTACCCATTCTACGTAAGTTAAACATAGTTGTAATATTTAGATGTTAAATACTTATTTATTTTATAGCTACTCTACTCTTTAAACATTGTAATTATATCTGCAGTTGTGTACGGAAAACTTGTGTCGTATTTTATAACGAAGCTCGTATGCAAGACAGATGAACGTTTGAAACTGACGTATGAAATCATAAAAGGTATTAAAGTCATTAAAATGTATGCTTGGGAGAAACCATTTGCACTTCTTATCAACAGATCTCGAAAGTACGCAGAGTTTTCGAAAAATTCTTGTATATTTAAAAATAATATGATTAAAAATTGTTTGTTTTATACCACCAGTGTTAGTGGAAAAAATTAAGCGAATAATTTGTGATTGTTTTTCAGAAAAGAAGTAAAAGTTGTAAGAAATAATTTAGTGACATCAGAAATTTGTTGGTCTTTTGATCTCTATGTTCCTCGAATTTGTATATTTTTAACAATACTTGCCTATGTCTTTTTCGGAAATGATATTAACGCTGAAAAAGTTTATATGGTCACAGCTTACTATAACATTATAAGAACAACTTTGTATCTAATGTTTCCACTAGGTAAAAATTGAGTGCATTTTTAGTCGAACTTAAAACAATTTTTTAAAAATTGATATCGAAAACATTTAATCATCACTTTTAGCTATCAAAGAACTGTCCGAAGCTTTAGTCTCTCTCAAACGTCTTCAGATATTTTTGATGTCCAACGAAACTCAGAATTTACTAATAAATAAAAATTACGTAAAATCACAGATATCAAATAGTGATGCATTATCTATGAAAAATGTCACCGTCAAATGGAACTCGCGATCAAAATTTGAAGCTCTAAAACAACTCAACTTCCGAATTAAACCCAAATCCCTTACGGCAATCATAGGACAAGTAGGTGCTGGAAAGACAACAATATTTCATACAATATTATCAGAAGTTCCTTGGGCAACTGGACAAGTTGAGATAAATGGAAAAATTTCATACGCATCTCAAGAAGCGTGGATTTTTACTTCATCTATTAGGCAAAATATACTATTCGGTAAACCAATGAACAAAGATCGTTATGATAAAGTTATCGATGTATGTCAACTTAGACGAGATTTACAATTACTTCCATGTGGTGACAACACCTTGGCAAGTGAAAAAGGAGCCAACTTAAGTGGTGGACAATGCTCTCGTATTAATTTAGCTCGTGCTATTTATTACGAGGCAGACATCTATCTTTTGGATGATCCTCTTTCTGCAGTTGATACACATGTCAGCAAAGCCATTTTCGAAGAATGTATTAAAACATTTTTAAAGGATAAGACCGTTGTCTTAATCACTCACCAATGTCACCTTTTAAAGCATGTTGATCACATAATTTACATTGAAAATGGTAAAACTTACATAGAGGGAACATATTCAGAACTACTTGGTTCTGAGATAGATTTAAAGAAAATGATGCGGTTTGAAAATGAGTCTGACGAAATCCCCGATAACGATGAGAGAGCTGCTACAGAGGATAGTGTGGCTTCTAAATCAACAGACTTTTACCAAGAAGAAAATGAAGAATTGGAAAGTAGAACCTTAGGAAAAATTAAATTACAAACATATTCAAAATATCTTGCGGCAGCAGGTAGCATCTTACTTGTAGCTTTCACTCTTTTAATTTGTGTTGCTTGCCAATTAGCGTCAACTGGCTCAGATTATTTTATAACGTATTGGGTTAATATGGAAGAAAAAGGAGCAAATTTTACAATATTAGAAGATGACGTGTTTAGAGGACGAAGCTGGTATATATACGTATATGGCTCCATTGTCATTTTTACTGTGTTTATTACTCTCATTCAATCATGCATATTTTTTAACATGTGTATGAAGATCTCAAAAAATCTTCATGCTTGGATACTCAAAAGTATAATCCACGCTAAAATGAGTTTTTTTAATTCAAATCCCGTTGGACGTATTATGAACAGGTAAGATGATAAGTACAATTTGCAATAAAATCTAAATACATATTTTTTCTCATTTTAGATTTTCAAAGGATATGGGTATAATTGATACTCGACTTCCTCAAACTTTGATGGATGTTGTAACAATTGGCTTGAAAACAATATCTGTCATTATTTTAGTTTTGATTGTCAATGTTTGGTTTATTTTACCAGTAGTCTTCATTTCTATAACTGCATATCTCTTACGGAAGTTTTACATAAAACCATGTCGAAGTATCAAAAGATTGGAGGGAATAAGTAATGATAAAATTATTTTATTATTTAGATATAATATTTCTTAAAAATTGTTAGGTCAATCATAACTTATAATACTGATAGAGTCATATAAAGAAATATACTCACGGCAGCTTAAGTCAACTATGAGTCGAATATATCAATGTTTTTGTTCAACGTTATTGTTATTTCAGCCCGATCGCCAGTATTCAATCACGTTAGTGCAAGTATACAAGGTCTCACAACTATAAGAGCTTTGCATGCTCAGAACATATTAACAAGAGAATTCGACAACCATCAAGACTTACATTCATCAGCATGGTTCTTGTTTTTCTCTGGTTCAAGAGCATTTGGAATGTACATCGAAATGCTTACTGCATTTTTTTTGGCGATAGTTGTGTACTCTTTATTGGCAATACATGAAATCTCATTGGCAGGAGATGTTGGTCTCATTGTAACTCAAATACTTATGCTATCGGGATCATTGCAATGGGGTATTCGACAAACAACGGAACTAGAAAATCAAATGACGTCTGTGGAACGAATTTTAGAATATGCAGATATTCCTCAAGAGCCTGTATTAGACAATAATGTTGAAAGTAGACCCTTAGATAAGTGGCCGAAAAATGGGAAAATTGAGTTTAAAAACGTTGATTTGATTTATGATCGCCAAAATAATCTAGCTCTTATGAACTTGAATTTTATAGCTGAACCAGATGAAATGATTGGCGTTGTAGGAAGAACTGGTGCAGGTAAATCATCAATAATAAGCGCCATATTCCGCTTAGTAGATATTAAGGGAGAAATACTTATTGATGATGTTCCTACGGATCAAATACCTCTACAAGACTTACGATCAAGAATTAGCATTATTCCTCAAGAACCAGTGCTTTTTGCTGGAAGTCTTCGAAATAATTTGGATCCGTTTGAAGAGCACTCAGACCATGTATTGTGGCTAGCTTTAGAGGATGTAGAGTTGAAACAATGTCTTGATTCAGACTTGGGTCTTGATATGTTGGTCATGGAGGGAGGCTCAAATTTCAGCGTTGGACAACGACAACTGCTTTGCTTAGCACGGGCTATCATTCGCAATCATAAAATACTTATTCTTGATGAAGCCACTGCAAATGTTGATCCAGGAACTGACGAACTAATTCAGAGAGCGATTCGAAAAAAGTTAAAGAATTGTACGGTAATTGTTGTTGCTCATCGTTTAAATACGGTAATAGACAGTGACAAAATTCTTGTAATGGATGCTGGACAAGTAAAGGTAGGGTCCTATAATATTCTATTACAATATGGGCAACTATATTACGATTTTTGTTTGTTTTTTAATCAACTATTTTAATAGGAATTTGACCATCCATATATTTTACTGCAAAAAAAAGACGGAATCTTCAGCAATATGGTAAAACAGACAGGAGCGTTTATGGCTAAAAGTTTGCATGACATTGCGAAATCTGTGAGTAATTAAAAGATAAATTTTATAAAAAACTATAAATAATTTAAACTTAAAACTATAAACATTGCATAAATTTTTCAGAATTATGAAAGTAAAAATAATTTCATTACGACTCGACTATGAGAAATAACATGTATATTACATCTGAGCAACATGTTACCAACCAATTATCAGTAACAATCTTTCAAATAACATAGTATGATTAAACCTGACTTTGTGTCTGGCGTATTGATATTTATTATTTAATAAATCCATCTTTTAAATATAGTTTACAATGTTTTTCATATCATTTAGTTATCTAAAAATTGAATCTATGCGTACAAAAAATTATTCGACGAACTTAAGTAGAATCGTATTCTGTGTATTGAACATATTTTTAAACCTGTAACTTTCAGTTAATATTTCACTGTATAGAAATCAATTGTGTTAAAACTATTCTATTGAAAAAATATGATTGCTGTTTAGTCTAGATCGTAAAAAAATGCCTTTAAAGCGTTAAAATTCTTCCTCAGTAAGTTTTCAACCTTTTTAATAATTTTTAACGCTTCTGAAATTTTTATTGATGATTAAATCAAGTTAACCGCTGTAAAACATAAACTTTATAATACATACGCTACATCTTAAAGTCATGTCCTAAATCCCATTTTGGACAAGTCAGCTTAAATCCCTGAATACTTCTACCATTAGGTTTTTTTTTTTTTTTGTATTAGGCTACCATTACGTTAATACTACGGTAAAATTGAGATTCTAAGTACAATTAATAAAAAAAAAAAAATTAATATAAAATTGAATGACGAACTTAACGATGACTTTCGCACTACAATCCAAATTTCGAAAAGCATTTGGATTTCTTTGGAACTAATCATCTAACCTCTTCCACCGGATAGCATCTCTTAGACGCTGAAGAACTTCTGTATAGTAAATTTGATTCACTGTTAAGACTTGGAAAAATTACTTGTAATAGACGAAACCATGAAATTCAAAGAGAACTGTCAACGTCACTTTGACATTGCAACAAACCTGGTAAGCTTTTTTGATCTGGTAGATGTTTTGTCCACCTACTGGGAACATTTAATCTTTGTTTTGATATGAGAACCGTACACCTAAGGTTCATCACCCGTTATATGATCCTTGGCAAGAAGTTTTCATCATCATGGTGTAAACAATAGCTCACTTCATTTAACAAACTTTTTGACAATCAGACGTCAATTTTTTCTAATCAGAATATTAATTTTAACCTAAACAGCCTACGTAATTTTTGAACAGACCTGGTATAATCAGATGGAATACGAATCCAGTTAGCAGTAGAAAATCTTTGCAAACGTCCTTCATTAAGAATGGAAAAAGTAAATTTAAAGGTTATGAGTTGAGGTATAATTGCTAGGTCAGCAAACTGAAGCTTTTTTAGATGGTTGGATGTATATGATTTATCAAGATTTTTAGGATTAATAAATGTGGTATGCCTTTAGACTCCAAACTATTGAATAATTTGAGGGAATTCATTACTCCCGTAAGCATAGAATATTGTAAAATGTGTACTGTTAAAAGAAAATAGAGTGTTTAGCAAAAGTTCACTATTTTTTCTTAAAACACTTCCATCCACTCTACTCATGGAAATATATTCCTGACGAATACATTTCGGTCAAGTGGTAAATTTTTCTTTCACGTTCAAGGCAACTTGGTACTCAAGGTACTTATGCGTCATATATCACGACGAGTTGACAAACAAATTTAATTATGCCAGAGATACAGCTCCAGTAAGGTTCATGAAAATAAAAATTACATCATAAAAGATTAATCACAAAATTACATCATCGGATTAAAAGTAATGACGAAAATACTTGGTATTTAACAAGTTCTTAAACGTAACCATAATAATAAGTATACACTGAGAGAAATAAATAATGAAAATTATAGAAAAATTGCTTTGCTTAGTAAATGAGATGCAAGCTGGAAAAAAAATTTACTTTCCCGCATGTAAATTTTTACTGTTCGAACCATAATTTTTACTGTTAAAACAAAAATCTTTACTATTAAAGATAATAATTTTTCCGCCCTCGGGCGGTTTTGGGAGGCTGGTACTCCCTCGGGCGAAAAAGCAGTTTTCCGATACTCGTTCGAAAAGTCTCCTTTACGAACCTCGTTACGGACCTCGCCTTCGGCTCGGGCCGCAAACCTCTCGGTTCGCAAACAAAGACTTTTCAAACTCGTAGGAAAACTACTATTTTTCTTAGTTTGCCACCTTGCATCCGATTTACTGTGAAGAATGGCCATTTTTGCTAGAATCTCTTTATAATTTTTATTATATTTTTTCTTTCAGATTCATCATTTCGACAGAAAAAATCTAACCATAAAATATTTTTTCAAAACATTCCTTTTATTTGGTTATCAAAATCTTCATTATCATGAAGTTATTTGGCTCGAGTAAAATATCAGTGTGGTGATAATGAGTACGTAACGTATTGTCAATCGAAACCTGTACAGCTCAATTTTCGTAACTTAGAATATTAGTGCTATTCATTTAATAACTTTCATTCATACGTTAACTGAATCTTTTTTCTATTTGTTTGAAGAACCTTTCTTTTTCATCGACAAGTGAAAGAGAATTTCGAAACAGCGCGAGAAAAAACCGATCACTCATTCCCACCCCCACCTGTCTGAAACACCAAAACGCGAACCCATCTCTGAATGTGTATCCCCAAAACATATCGCAGTACACGTCCGTCGCGCATCTCGTCAGTCTTTCACGAGCGTATATACGCATACACAACACACCACAGTACAACCCATGCCGTGAGCAGTCAACACTTTGTTTTTCGGTACCGCTTATGTGCGGTGCGCTCCTACCGACAGACTACGTACCCATACGTAGGATCTCGGAGCTGCCGTTGCTGCAGGCGCGCATCTGTCACTGCCTCGCGTGCCACAGGGGCCGTTGCTGGAAGATATTGAACGTACCCTAGATACAATACTGTGTGTGTGGGTGTAGGTGCTCGTACAGCCATACATTTTCATTTTATGCAGTGCGCCCGAGAAGAGCTGCACGTGAAGGCAGAGGGAGAAGTTGTTGTGACAGGCCGGAAATCGCGGAAAAAGCTCGCGGGCGCGGGAGCGCTTTGCTTTTGCGTATAATGCGCGGGCTTTTGTATACCTGTAGCCGGGTTTTATAAGCGGATGCTATGCATATTGTACAATACCGGTCGGGTATCCGCGTGTGGGAAAAAAGCTTGAGAGCGAATGCGTGGTTTCACGAGTGAAGGAAAAAAATAACGTCGCTGCTGTGTGTTGTTTCTTGCTCGTGATTTTGAAGGATGCTCGTGTGCGTGATGAGTGCAATGTCTACACTTTGAAATTAAATTTGATGTGGAGCTTTCAACTTTTGGAATGGAATTAATTACGCGTGACATTTTTATGATGTAGATACGTGCGTAGATACATATTTCAGTGTACATTATGTTGATTAACGCAACGATTCAGACAGCACATGGTTTTCGTACTTGTATTTTCTTGCGATGACAAATATACAACGTGGAGTTGAATAAAACTGATTGTAATGGAATTTACGTGTTTTTATTGAAAATTCCGGTCATTTCTTCGCCGTGTTTATACTGTCTCTTTCCATTTTTGCCGTTTCATTACAGTAATTGAATTTATTGAATATACATTGGAGTGAGTATCAAGTTGAAAAGAGAATTCTTTTAAATGATAATAAAAATTATAATTTTTGAATCGCAAATTCTAAAATCAAACAAGATCAATGTCCCAATGATAAGCTCAGTCGATTTTAGGTCTTGGCTCCATTTGTTCTGAAACGTTGTTTTTGTTTTTAATAAATACAAAAATATAACAGTACCACCATTGGACGTCAATTTTAATTAAGTTCAATAGAAGCTTTTAAAAAACTAATAATCGCATTGTGTGAAAAAAATGTACAATTTTACGTATTCCAGGTGAATAAATGTAGTTTTCATTATTTCCACATATCTACGTAAAAGTGAAGAAACAGAGCAAAAAAAACATGGTTCATGTCATAATTTACATGTCAGAACGGCTCTCTAAAAAATATCATCACCCATTAAGTAATTTAATGTAAGCTACATCAGATCACATACCATTCATAACAGGTTGATCTACGAAAAAATGTAACTCCGTACGAAAAAAACTGAGGCAAAGAAGAACCCAATCCCAACAACTCCACCTCCAACGTACTCGGTAACACCGCAAGTTATGACCCGGCTACCTGTCTAAGACCGTAAGATGCGCCAGTTTTCTAATCAAGTTTACAAACATTAATCCACAGCCAAGCTAGCTCAACAAGCTCTTCCCCACTCGAAGCCATAATCCCCTCGCTCAACCCCGGTGTACACGCTCGGTCATCATCCCACGCTCCCGGCATTCCAAGAGAACCACCCGGTAGCACCAGCTTCCCCCGCTCCCTTCCTTGAACTTTCTTCATCCGCGAGATAGAATTCTGAGAACAATGTCGAAGCTACGTCAGAACTTTCCCCGAAACCAAATCAGCCGCGCCCCGATCGACCCGCGTGTCGTAGATCGGATATCGCGAAGGAGCAGCTCTATCTCCCCCCCGCTCCTTCTCTCCATCCACCCACTCCGCAGTTTGATGGAAGGCCCACGGTATTATTCATCCAGAGGAGAAGCTAAGCCATAGTAACGGCGTCCAGTCGAATCGATGCGATACACACACACACACACACAGTGGCGGAGAAGTGGCCGGGACGGATTTGCGGTGGCAGGCCGCGTTCCGCTCGCCCGGATTTCGATCAGACCCCGCTTCCGTTTGCTTCACTCGAGGCAGCAGCCGTCAGCGAATCGCGGAAATATGCGAATATGGTTACATGTATACCGGCTTGTCCGTGGATAAGCAAGACGTGCGAAACGAACCGACGGATCGGACTGAGAATACTTTGGTGAATGTACTTACTTACCTTCTACGTTCGAGGGATGAGAAAAGCACGTTCGAGATTTTTTTTTTAACTCTATGGATCAGGGACTGTACGTCAAACAAATACTTTTGAAATCCAGCCTTCATACATTTAAAATGTAATTAATGGAATGACTGTTTTTTTTTCTCTTCCATACAACTTTTTGTTCAATTACCTGCTAATCTTTTGAATAATTTTCATTTTTGGGTTCCAATTCTTAATACAAATCAAATAACATGAAAGAAAAGTTATCATTATAGTTAATAAGATAATTTTCATATAATATATAATATAATTTTGTACATCCTTGTGTATGTGTGTTTGTGGTTTCAAATTTTGCAAATTCCAAATCTGCCAAGCTCTTACATACGTAAATACAAATGCATCCTTCTGTAAGTATTCATGCGTCTAAATTACTTGTTGAACAAGAACTGAGGGCCTGCGCACTCTCAAGTCTTTTGGAGACTTCCGAAATCTTCAAAAGACTTAGAATGACTTACGAAGTCTTTTTTAACGAGTTCAAGCTATAGGAACTCTTGACGTCCCAGTGAAACGTCTGAAGTCTTTTGGAGACTTCTGAAGGCTTTGTAAGACATAAAATGACTTACGAAGTTTTTTATAACGAGTTTAAGCTATAGGCACTTTTGAAGTCCCGGTGAAATGTCTGAAGTCTTTTGGAGACTTTTGAAGGCTTTGAAAGACTTAGAACGACTTATGAAGTCTTTTTTAACGACTTTAAGCTAAAGGCATTCTTGAAGTCCCGGTGAAATGTCTGAAGTCTTTTTAAGACTTCTAAAGGCTTTGAAAGACTTAAAATGACTTACGAAGTCTTTTTGAAGAACGCGCAGCCCCTTGAAAAGAACTTCAAAACATAAAAAGTAAAGTAGGCAGGATGAACCAGCCTAAAGTCTTAACCCTGCACTGTGTAACTGCTATGGTCCATTGTGTGAGCTTGAATAACAAATTTGGATTCAAAGTGCATGCACGCCAAACGATCTCCGACCTTATTTTCCCGCTCACGCTCGTTTCTGCGCTGAAATGAGCAAGCACAGCTCAGAATATGCACGTACAGCTCGTCGTCCCCTCGAACCTCTCTCTCTCTCTCTTTCTCTTTCCATATCCAAGTTTGTAGAGGCCGTCAGTGGCACTAAGCACATCGGAAATTGCTGCAGAGATTGCGGATACACTTGTAGTTAATGTAGCGCACACTGGTGTGTGTGTGTATAGGTACCCTCGAATGGCCCACACCCCTTGTCGTTGTAGATACTCATCATATAGGAAAGCTCTGCGTATATGAAACTGTACATCTAGAAAGGCTAAGGGAGGTGGGCAAATGTGCGGCGTGCACTATCATAAATCTAATACGCCAGCAGACGGCAACACGGCTTTCCACGGGACAAAGTGAGTTCCTCCGCGGGGGGGGGGGTGAGAAGTAGACTCCCTCTTGTCCCGATGGGTGCCGAAAAAGCAAAAGCTCGCGTATGCTAAAGAAAAGGGGGAGAGATCGAGCTTTATGGAGCTTTTAGGCTGCCTTGATGTTTTCATCGCGCCGCTAACGTGACTTGTCGTGTCGTGTGGTGGGTCTTTTCCTTTTTTTTTTTTTTTGTTGTTGTGGAAAGAGCTTTCCCATCACTGCTGCTTCTGTTTCTTATTCCGTTGCTGGTGCTGCTTTTTCTTGAACGCTAGTTTTAAAATTCAATTTTCGGAGCGTTTCACCGGTGAGCAATTTCTCGTTTGAGTGAAAAGTTGAACGATACTGTACCCGAGAGTTTTGTTTCGGGTCTGTCTATCCACGTTTGACAATTTTTTTTTTTTTTTTAGTCGTGTGAGAAATTTGTTGAGATTGGTTGAATTGAAAACAGTTGGCTGTATTCAGTTTAGCCAATATTTTTGTTTCTATAGTGCGGACTCTAATTTATAAATTACGTATTTATGTAGCGAGGAACAATGTCTTCGCAGTATATTATATCTAATTTTTTGACTGTGCAAAATAAACAAACTACTTTTAGTTCAAGCAGTAGTGTTGACTCATGAATGAGTGCGTTCAAAACTAGAATGGAGTCTATGCGACGATGTTCGAGCTGTATGTTATAACTTACTATTCGGACCGTGCAACAGTTTGAAAGAGCGCCACCACTGGCAATTGTTAGAGTCATTGGACCGAAGATGATGCATGAAAGTAAGTGACAATTTATCATAAATAGTTTAATCTCACAAATCTATTGCATTAGAAGACGTTTATACAAGTAATTATGAATTTTCCATTATCTGTGATAACCTTATCCATTTTTAAATAACAACTGAAAACAAATATAACAAAAAATATACAACCCCAAAACGTATGGACAAAAAATAATGAATTAGATAATAAAAACTTCATTATTACTTGTATAATCGTCTTCTAACTCGATAGATTTGTAAGATTGAATTATTAAAGAGACATTGTCACTTACTTCCGTGCATTATCTCCAGTCCAGTGACTCCAACTATCGCCAGTGGTGGCGCTCTTTCAAATTGTTGCACGGTTCCAATACTTAATAGCTTTACGTGTATATAAAATAGAATATTGTAAAGAAGATTATAATCCTATGATAATTTTTTAAATTATTTAAATAACACAGGACTTGAAAGAAATGGAAAGGTCCCAATTTGTAAAGAACTCTCTGTAAGTATTCCTTATAACTCAATCAGAATTTAGTGTCCAAAGTGTTCAGCCTACAGTTTCGACCCAATAGCCTCTTGACCTAAATCTATCCTTAAAACCCCACATCTCCCTAACCTTACCTCGAGATCCCAAATAACCAAATATCACAGAATTATAAACTAAATAAGCTTTTTTAGCATAGTCTATTGTCCTGATTCTCCCCATTACATATTATAAGATTCAATCCCTATAGCCCCCTATCTTAACCTCAAAATCCAAACTAATCGAATGTCACAGAATTTTAAGTGAGATAAATTAATTTACCTAAGCTTTAATAGTAATAAAGAGAAATAAATAATGAAAATTATAGA